TATCAACATATTATTAATCAAAAATCTCTCAGTTTTTTAGTTGCAAGTTTAAGAAAAAAAATATTTTGTGAAAAAGTTAATACCCGAAGTTTTTGACATTTCAAAAATCAGTCAAATATGTTAAATTCAACACTAATAGTATTTTTATTTTTTAAATTTTTGTAAAGACTTCCATTGATAAGAAACTGAAATCCCAAAAAATGAAGGATACTAATCACAACCCACATATCTTTAATACAAACAAAAACACAACCTAAACTTAATACAAAAAAGAAAAGAAAAAAATATAGGAAAATCAAGGGACAATAACTCATAGATTTGATATACCCTAGTTAGTAGTTACATAATTTAATTCATAGCTGCAATTATTTTATCTTTTTTTTAAGGAATAAAGGCATAAGATAATTTGGTAAAGGAAGAACGTTAAAGCGACCTAACAAGAAGATGAAACAGTTACACGTCTTTTTAATAAATCTGTTGGCAATTTTCTGATTCATCATCTTTATGACTTGTCCCTCTACTCGTTACTCCATTAATGTGCAACCCTCTTTTTTTGTGTGTGTGTTGTTTTGGTAATCTTATTCATGACCTTTTCAATTGTCACATTATAAAATAGGTGTTAGTTAAGTGGTTTTTGGTTGTTATAAAAATTAAAGATTGGTAGGTTTGATGCTCTAATCTGAATTTTATATTAAATACAACCCAACATTATATATTTTTATAATTTTTGCTTAGGTTTTTTAGATGCTAAACTTTTATTAGGTCTATAACACGAGCCTGGTTAAATACAACAAAGATATTAAGAGTAGGCTTGGGGTGGAGCCGGATATCCGACCTTTTTTAGGATATCCGGATCCGTATCCGTATCCGGCGGATTCGTAGGTTTAGTATCCGGCTCCGGGTCCGTTCTCCCGGATATTCGTATTAAAAAAACAGGAAATCCGCGGATATCCGTATCCGGTATTTTTAATTATTTTTTTAAAAATTTTAAAATTATCATAAAATTTTTTTAAATTAGAAAAAATGTATTAATTTTTAAAAAATAATAAGAAAAACAATTTTTTAATATATAAAAATAAGAAAAATATATTATATGATATTAATATTAATAAATATTAATAAAAATAATATAAAATATTAAAAATGCCGGATCCGGATATCCGGTCTAAAATTTTCCACTATCCGTATCCGGCCGGATCCATTATTTCACTATCCGGATCCGGCTCCGCCCTATCCGGATATCCGGTTTTTCGGATCGGATCGCAACGGATCCCGGATCGAGTCACGGATGTCGGATAATTGGTATCAGGACTAATCAAGAGAACCAAAAACGAAACTCGTAAAGAAAAACCAATCATACCCTGATTTTTTTTTTATTAGAGCTGAGATAAATAATAAAACAAACCGAAATTTTGGTTGTTCAGTTCAGTTTTGGTTATACATTAATAACCAATCCGTAATATTTAAAATTTAGTGTGGTTAACCGAGAATTTTAGTAAGTTTATTTTGGTTCTTAGTTAACCAAATTAATCGAAAAAGCCAAATATTTTTTTAAAAATCTTGTTTAGTTTTGATATTGAAAAATAAAACCGAAATTAATAAAAAATATCGGACTAGATTTTGATTATATGTTCAAAACTCGAAAATAACTAAAGAACCGAACTTTAACGACTATTTTTGATACCTACAAAAACTACACAACCTAAACTTAATACAACAAAAAAGATCGCAAAAGAAAACAAAAGCATGGAAACAAGAAATTTACGAAAATTGCGGTTCATGTTTCACTATAGTTACTGACATAAACTATTCATATACTATAGTTGGGAAAATGACAAATAAGATAATTAACAAAGAAGACCGTTAAAGCCACCTAAACAAGATGAGACTGTTACAGGTCACACTGTACATAGTGTTGGTAATTTTCTAATTACTCCATTATTTTGCAACTTATATTTGTGTAATCTAAACACTTTTATTTTGTCATTTCTGTTATAGATTGATTCATGTTAGTTTTCAATAACCGGGTCAGAAAATTCAATCAAGTACAATACAATTTTCATACATTTCAGTTTCTTCGGTTCGTGGTTTTATATCGGTTTTGTTATGGTTTGTTTTGGCTTTAAAATAATCTTAACCAATACATTTCATTTGGTTTAGTTTCGATACAACCAACAACACACACGGATCCCGGTTCGGTTTGGTTTCAACATTTAATTTTTGGTTTTGGTTTCGATTTTTCCGGTTACAGAGACCTAACGTCGTCGTTATAAAGAATCTCCATGATTTTCAACTTCTTCAGTAGAAAACAATAGAAACGACGTCGTTACTTAAAATAGCTTAGAGAGAGAGAGAGAGAGTGTGGCGACGGCGGAGAAATATGGCGGCGTTGATGAAGTCACTCGCCGGCCGAGCTCTGAAATTCTCATTGGCGGCGAATTTCAACTTAAACCGATGCGGCCAAGCACCGAGACTCTGTATTAGATCGTTCTCCACCGTTATGTCACCACCGTCTAAGGCCATCGTGTACGAAGATCACGGCTCTCCCGATTCTGTCACCAGGTTCGTCGTATATACATACTTTTACTCTCTGCATATACATACGAACGCGTAATCTCCATTTTCAATTCACATTTTTCTCTTTCGGTGAAAACAGATTAGTGAATCTCCCGCCGGTGGAAGTGAAAGAAACCGATGTTTGTGTTAAAATGATCGCCGCGCCGATCAATCCTTCTGATATCAATCGAATCGAAGGTTTTGATTTTCTCCATTGTTCTGTGATTCTATACTTAGTTATGATTTAGAAAAGTGAAATTTCAATGTTGGGAAAAAAACGATGATTGTTTCAGGTGTGTATCCGGTGAGGCCACCGGTACCAGCGGTGGGTGGTTATGAAGGAGTTGGGGAAGTTTATGCAGTTGGCTCTAAGGTTAATGGTCTTTCTCCTGGTGATTGGGTTATTCCATCTCCACCATCTTCAGGTAAATGTAACTCTATGCGTTTCGCAGTAGGAATCTGAAATTTGGATGTTCAGTATGTAAAAACAATGAAGCTATGATGTGGAATCTGATGGAAATATTTATGGACTAGGGACTTGGCAGACGTATGTTGTGAAGGAGGAGAGTGTGTGGCACAAAATCGATAAGGCCTGTCCAATGGAGTATGCGGCGACGATCACTGTTAATCCATTGACGGCTTTAAGGATGCTTGAGGATTTTGTGAACTTGAATTCTGGTTTGGATTGTATCTTATGTCTTTAATGTAAACTGCTCTTTACTTTCTTTTTCCTAAGGAAGTAATAATCCTCTGAAGCAGGTGATTCTGTGGTACAGAATGGTGCAACAAGTATCGTTGGTCAATGTGTCATCCAGTTGGCTAGACTCCGTGGCATCAGTACCATCAACCTTATTCGTGATAGGTGTAATATATTATGAATTGAATTTAAGATATAGCTTGTGGAAAAATCGAAGCGACTCTAGTAAAGTAAACTGTCCCGTGCTACTGATATTTTTAGGGCTGGGTCGGATGAAGCAAGAGAGCAGCTGAAAGCTCTTGGTGCAGATGAAGTGTTTTCAGAGAGTCAGCTGAATGTAAAGAACGTGAAAAGTCTTTTGGTAAGATTTGAGCTAGCAATTCTATCGCAGAAATTGATGAGTATCTCAAGGTTAACATATGTGTTTGTGGTCTAGGGTAACTTACCTGAACCAGATCTGGGATTCAACTGTGTTGGTGGCAATGCTGCCTCTCTTGTTCTCAAATATCTCAGGTGCAGTGAACATCTCTTTTCTTGCGTACTTTTAGTTAAATGAATCACCACCGCTCTGCTGAAGGTTTGTGAGTACCAAAATATTTCAGAGAAGGAGGAACCATGGTAACATATGGTGGGATGTCTAAGAAGCCAATCACTGTGTCAACAACATCTTTCATCTTTAAGGTTATTGCTAGATCATTCACAAAAATTAATCTGACATTAGTGTGTCTTAGAGTAGTAACTTTAGATCTTCATCATTCGTAGTTGAAAATGTACTCTCAAGTACACAAGCTGGTTTCTGCTTTCTTTCACCGCTGTTCCACATCTATGGCTTTTGTGCACTGTGTTAAAATTTGATTGCCATACAGGATTTGGCCTTGAGAGGATTCTGGCTGCAGAGTTGGTTGAGTATGGGTAAAGTAAAAGAATGCAGAGAGATGATAGACTATCTCCTCGGGCTTGCACGAGACGGAAAGCTTAAATACGAGTGAGTCTTTTCCTTAATTAAAAATTCTTAGCTCCCTTGAAAAACTGATCTTCGTTTACCATATAAATCAATGGTTGCTTTCTTCTGACAGAACGGAATTAGTTCCTTTCGACGAGTTCCCTGTTGCTCTCGATAAAGCTCTCGGGAAGCTAGGTAGGCAACCTAAACAAGTCATCACATTCTGAAGCATCCTACGTGTGAGCCATTTAGTTACCGTTGCCACGCTGTTAGATTAATATGATGATGCATATTGTACTTTATTATACGGTATCTGCGTCCTCTTATCTAATGTATTAGAAAACAATGAGATAGATATGAGAATAATGTAGACTGAATAAAACCAAAATAAATCATTATGCTCTTTGTTCAGATTGTAACTCCATGGTCATGTGTTAATTAGTAGCTTTTAGTCTAATCATTCAACATGAGCATAATGATTTTGTCAGAAGCTGACTTGGTGATGAAGTTAGAGTTTAGTCAAATCATTCATTCATACCAAAGTTGCTTTTCGAAACTGGATTCCTTATTGGGCCAGATCCAAAATATCAAAATAAAATTTACTTTTTAGTTCAAATCGGATTAACACGAGATGCTGTTAAAAAACAAAATAACCTACTTAGCCAAGAAAAATATGTTAACGAGACAGCAACCTGCGTCTCTCTTGCCGATAGCAACTCCGATTAGGTTCCTCGCTCTTTATCCTCTGTATCCTTACCAGTTGCTTTCCCATACTGAAGAAGAAGCTATGGTATTTGCAGGTTTAATAGCTTGATAAAGAGAGATAGGTATATTATGGTCTCTCCAAAAATTATGACTGAAGAGAAAAAAGTTTGGAGTAAAGGTTAAGTTATAACTATACTCTTTTGCTGAAGTTGTTATCAGATTGTGTTCATTATAGAGTTTTTTCAATCATTCTTGTTTATGGATATGATTCAGGGATTCGAAAGAAGGTGAAGAACACTATGTCCATAGCATTAAAGAAACATAAGATTGATAGTTATATCTTACTAGACCTTGATAAGGTATTAGATGATGTCTACTGCTCTGTTCGACCGGTTCCTGCTGATTATGATACTAGGAAGGAATTGGTGAAAAACCTTAATACAATGGCTAATGATATTTATGGTAATATAAGTTTTCTACTTGTTAGTCTTTTAAAAAAAAAATCTTGTTTAGAACTTAGCAAAGGTTTTTATTTATTTTTGTGTGTACATAAGGTGATTCAGAAGAGAGCAGCCCAGTCCTTGAGGCGTACGGGTCTTTCTTGATGGATATGTATTCCTCTCAGAGTGATTTGGATTTGTCTATTGTCTTTGGCAACGTAACATCTGAACTTCCTCATGGAAAGAAGCTTCATATACTTGAAAGATTTGCGAAAGAACTCCGCTCGTTGGAGGGTAAGATATTCGTTTATACATCTTTAGAATGATGAGTTTTTCATCTTCTTGCTTACAGTTTGTTTTTTTTTTTTTTGTAGGGAAAGGCTTAGTTAGGAATGTTGTAACTGTCTCCACAGCTAGGGTGCCAATTGTCAAATTCTTTGATCAAGGGACTGGTATCTATTGTGATTTGTCAGTTGAATGCAAAGAAGGGATTTTAAATTCACAGATCATTCGTATTATATCTCAAATTGATGACAGGTTTCAGAAACTTTGTTTGTTGGTAAGATTTCAGTTTGCATATATGTTATTCCAAGTGTACTGTCAATTGTTTTAGTACTAATTATGGATGTGACTATTCTCATTTGTGATCAGGTTAAGCATTGGGCCAAAGCACATAGGGTTAACAATGCATCAAGCCAAACCCTGAATTCTATATCTATAACATTGCTCGTCGCTCATCATTTACAGGTCAATGGCAGTTACTCTTGCTGGATTATATTAAGTAGAATTTTGAATGTTTTTACACATTTTGGTTCATCTGTCTCTAAAAGTCTAGTTTGCTTCTCCTCTTGGCTTTATGTGGCAGACTCAAAACCCTCCCATTTTACCTCCATTCTCTACACTTTTTAAAGGTAATACATATAAGCTACGCATAAGATGGTTTTGGACGTTGTTTAATGGTAGATCAGTAACATTTTACAAAGTCTCTTTGAGCTAGAGTTACATTACTGATTCATCATCTTTACTCCTCTTTGTCTTTGAGCTAGAGTTACATTACTGATTCATCATCTTTGTACTCTTTGTCTTTGCATATGTATTTCACAGATGGGATTGATCCTCCTAAAGTGGAGAGAAGGACTCAAAAGTTCTTGAATTGGGGACAATGTAATCAAGAATCTCTTGGTAAACTGTTTGCAACATTTTTTATTAAGGTGCTTATATATCTTTCTTTCTTTATTTTTTGGCCTTTGATGAAGACAAACATGCTTATGTGTTATAATGAAATATGTTTTTGCATGTAGTTGCAATCTGTAGAAGTCCTTTGGAAGCAAGGGCTCTGTGCAAGTGTGCTGCAAGGTCTTTGGATATCTAAAAAGAGGAGAAAAGCTCATATTAGTGTAATACTCTATACAGTAAAAATTTCATTCACATTCTTACTTTTTTGCTCTTATCACATTCTTTTTTTGTTTTACTTGTGTGTGTGTGTTATATAGGTTGAGGATTTTACAGACGTGTCTAAAAATTTTGCAAGGTCGGTTACTACCAAAGGAGCGGTGAAGATACACAGCTCAATAAACAAAACCGTGGATAACATTTTGGAGTTCCTCAATGGCAAGATCACTGGAACAGAACTTAAACACAGCTTATTTGAACAACAAACTGTTAATGTTGTTGAGCCTTCTCCTACTGTGTTGTCGCCACTAATCAATGTTTGCTCAAAACAACAACCTCATAACAACAAGAGAAAGGAGTTTGTTGGACTTGTTGATGAAGAAAACAAAAGAGTCTGTTTGGAAAACGGACACAGAGCTGTTAGAGGAAATGGTGGTTTGGTTCATCACCATAGGCATGATGGTAGGTTTAGTGGTGAAGAACCAATGCCTGTTGGTCTGTGGCATGAGTACAGTCAACGTTTAGATCTGCCTCTACCGCCACCACCTTATGGTAGTGTTCTTTATGATAAATTTGGTCTTTACTAGTTAGGGTTTTTAGTTGCGATTGTTTTACTCGTAAGTCAAAAAATATCTTTAAGAGTAAATAGATAAACTTATTTTTGCCTTAATCATACTATTTTCGTGAACAAACTAAACTTATATAGATGTTACAAAAAAAATAATTAAACTTTGTATAATAAGATACGATGATTATATGTAATTGGTACCACATGGTTGGCATTTAGACATTAGTATATATTATATATTATTATACAATAGTAAATTAGTAAGATAAATACAATTTAAAAAGTCTTACGCTTATAAAATGCTTCATTGAGCTAAATAATTGTGAATTATAGCTTAAAATGCTTAGTAAGAAATATACAATTTAAAAAGTCTTGTAAAGCATACAAGAGCATGGAAGTTCAATATGCTTTATTTCATGCTCAACTAGTAAAAATATGATTAGATGTAAAAAGGCATTATGCTCATGGGATGCTTTACCAATCAAGCCATAGTCAAAGATGAAATCACTTTTCTTACTGCATACAATATTATATCATTTAGAAGCACAGAGAAATATGTAAAACTATTAATTATATTATTGACAAAAAAATATTTATTATATTTACAAATGTAAAAAAAAAGTCAATACATCATTCAGTTTAATTTTCAGAAATTGTTTAAGTTCAAAACATTTAATTTCTATTCCAATTCATTTATTTCTTCTTCATTTTGCGCAAAATGATAATCACTACATTGCATATTAATCTTGTATTTTCATAGAAATTTATGGTTTATAAATAAAACATCATTACATATACAGTACAATAATACTCTCTACTATACATGTCAATGGAGTTAGCCTGGCCTCGCAAGAAACCTGCAAATCCCAAATATGTTTAAGTCCGACCCGGTCCGAACCCATATCCATTTTGGTCTAGATCATTGTATATATGGTGAAAACTCTCTCCTTAATTAATTCCTTGTGTTATTTTTTTTGCTTGGATCTGGATTCTGATACATTGGCTTGAAACATTTATTGAGTATATGCTATAAACATTAATTAAAACATTTGAACAATGATTGGAATGCTTTATTTTTAATGTTATTGAAAACTAAAAAGAGTGGTATTCATTCACCATGACATGAAGTGTTATTATATTTCTCAGCCACATTATTCTGAAAAGCCATAACAAAGCTACTAAACCTACAATAATATCAAACCTTTAAAACTTTGAAATTAAAGTGTTTACAGTTCTATATTATTGCAGGTTTAGTAGATGCTCTGTTATGGCCTCTGAAAATAATATAGCTGAGTAATACAATAACATTCCAAGTCAAGGTGAATGAATACTCATTTTTTTCAGTAACACCAAAAATAAAGAATTGAATAACAATATGATGCAATAACCCAAAAATGTATAAAACATTATACCTTCGTAATTCTCAAGCTTCGCTTTTGAATGGTTTTTCCTCCAACCCTACATATGTAGTGTTACAACTCAAAGTTAAAACGTAAATAAGGAAGAAATCATACTGATTTTATTTTATTTTTAAAAATATTTCCTTACTTCGGAATCTTAGTTCAACATGCTCTCTCGTACATTTGGCTAGATTATTCAACTTTACTCTGTACAAATAATTCACATCATCATGATATATCATATATCTTATACATGAATGAAAGGACTCATAAACATATATGTATTATCTATTAAAGAAACATGCATACCCATTTGTTCGGATATATGTGACTTGACATTTGTATCTCCTCGAATACACATATGCAAAAGTCTTGGTGAGCCGACTCGAACAACACCATGGCCAGGTGACATTAGCATGAAAAAGATGTTGAGGCTAATTAAAAAAGACAAGGACATGACATATATATGAATGAAGACTACAATAGCAATTTATAAATATGGATGAAAGATAAACAAAATACAGAGCAAGATATATATACTAGCCAAAGAACTCAAGTCCAGTTAGGTTGACTAAATTATATCATTTAATGGAATTATAATATTTTCCATATTAAATTAATTAGCAAAATGATTTTGTTGACTAATAAAATGCCTTTAAAAAGTTTCCAAATGCATTAGTTTAACTATAGTAAAAAATAATAGAAAATTTTCAATTATTATATTTGTAATAAAAAGATTATAATAGTCAAAAGATATAATAACTTCCCTTACTGAATACCTCAAAACATTAAAAACTAAATATGTAAGATTATAATTATATTATTGGCAAAATAAACTATTAATTATATATATATATATAAGTAATTATATTATTGGCAAAAAGCTATTAATTATATTTATTAAAAATAAAATAATAAAAGTCAATACATCATTAAATTTGGAAATTGTTTATGTTCAAAACATTAAATGATAGGAGACTTTAACTTATATTTCTATTCAACTTTTTTTTTCATTCATGCAAAATTTAAACGTCATCTCTACCACCATTTTTTGCATGTTATAATAATTAGTTGCATTGCATATTAGTCTTCTATGTTCAATAAAATTATGGTACATAAATAAATAAAATCAATATGTTAGACGAATTACCTTAATTTATATTAGATAAAATATTTTAAAAATGCGCGGGTAGTTCGGGTACTGTACTAGTATAAATACTCCCTAAAAAGTAAAAAATCCAAAATCATTTTGAGTCCAATGCAGCTTCTCTCCTTAATTCATTCCCCTGGCTTCTAATTTTCTGAAACCTTTGGCTTGAAATATATATTGAATCTATGCTAAAAAAGCATTTATTGAACACATTTTTGTTCATCAGAGTGTCTCAATCGTTTCTCCTTGGTTTATGGATGTCAGATATTGGAAAGAAAGCGAAGAATTCAGAGTTCATAGCATTAGAGAGACACAAGATTGATAGTTATAACTTCATGGACCTTGATAAGGTATTAAGTGATATCTACTGCTCTTCTCGGCCTGTCTTTGCTGATTACATTACTAGAATGGAATTGGTGCAAAACTTCAATGATATGGCTGAAGATATTTACGGTAATATAAGATTTACTTGTAATCCACGTTATCTTATTAAGATCAGCCAGGTTTCTTTAATCTTCGTCTTTGTGTTGTTCATTAGGTAATTCAGAAGAGAGCATCCCGGTCCTTGAGGCATATGGGTCTTTCGTGACGGATACGTTTTCTAGGCAGAGTGATTTGGATGTGTCTATTAACTTTCTTAACGGAACAACTGAACTTACCCGTGAAATGAAGATCGAGGTACTTAAAAGATTTGCGAGAAAACTCCATTTTCTGAAAGGTGAGTTTTAGCTTATTCATGTTCTAAACTTGCTCTTGATTCCATTATTGCAATATAGCTTTTAAGTTATAACTAAAATCTTACCGACAAATCTAGAATGACAGTTATATTGAATCCGAAAATTTTTAGTCTTAAATGACACCCTTGTTTTAAAAATCGCTAGGCGTTAGTCGGGCGGCTGAGGTGGGCCTAGCGCCTAGCAAGAAAATCGGGGACTAGTTTTAGGGTTATTTTATTTATATATATATATATATATTGTTAATTACTGGTAATGAAAAAACACAGTATAACATACAAAACTATAAAACTGGTTTCAAAATTGTAGTAAATATATCAAAATCATAATTTTATAGCCAAATTTATGTTTTTCATTAAAATTTTGAACATAAATTATTGCAAAACATCACAAATTCTCAATATAATGTTTAATAACCGACAAAAAAGTTAGGCGGGGATTAGTCATTAATCGAAACGGATAGGGTGGGCCTAACGATTACACTGGGAATAATCGAATCTAGACGGGGATTTTTTAAACAGGGAATGACACTTTATTAATGGAGGGACAATTGAATGAACATGCCATGATGAGTTTCATAGATATTATGTTTAATACTTCTTTTGTAGGAAAAGGGATTGTTAGGAATGTTGAACCTATCCTCACTGCTAGGGTGCCAATTATCAAATTCTGTGATCAAAGGACTGGTCTTGAATGTGATTTGTCAGTAGAAAACAAAGACGCCATTTTAAATTCACAAATCATTCGCATTGTATCTCAAATTGATGGAAGGTTTCATATACTTTGTATGTTGGTAAGATATTGATGAATTCTATATTTATGACACTTTCATTTATCTTTCTAATTACTAATGACTTTTTCAGTAAAGTTATATAAACACATGAAATATAAATTGCTAGGGACATTAAGGCTAACCATAGTTTGCATATAAATAAAGCGCATTCAAAAAGTTCAACCAAGCTATAGATAGATATGTGTAGTTTTGGCCAATATGTTTACTAATGTGACTATTCTCATCTGCCAGGTTAAGCATTGGGCTAAGACACATGAAGTTAACAGCGCCGTACACCGAACCCTGAATTCTTTATCCATAACTTTGCTAGTCGCTCTTCATTTACAGGTATCAACTGTTCAGCTACTCTTTTAACTTGCATATGCTTATAATTTGAACCAATCTACTTCTCCTTCGTCTTACGCGCAGACTCAAGATCCTCCCATTTTACCTCCATTCTCTATGCTATTTGGAGGTAACTATTTGTTATACTTTTTCTTGCTTTTGTCATGACATTATATTGTATGACAGTTGTGATTTTCTAGAGGGAATTGATCCTCCTAAGGTGGAAGAAAGAATTCAAAACTTCTTAAACCAGGGACAACCAAATCATGAATCTGTGGCTAAACTGTTTGCAACTTTTTTTATTAAGGTGCTAATCTTTTTTTTGTTTTCTGGCTTTAAACCCAAAACAAGATGCAATGTACATATGCATACTTGTTATTATATACTGAAAATATGTTTTTTTGCCTTGCAGTTGCAATCTGTAGAGTACCTTTGGAAGGAAGGTCTCTGCGTCAGTGTGCTGAATGGTCTTTGGATATCTAAAAAATGGGAATATACAGGCGACGTTGAGTCCATTAGTGTATGTAAACTTTTTCTTAACAACTGATCTTATTCAGCAATCTTTATTTGCATTCTTACTTATCTTTGTTTTGTTTCCGTGTATGTTAATAGGTTGAGAATTTTACAAACGTGACTCAAAATGTTGCAAGGCAAGTTAATGAAGAAGGAGCTAGAAAGATATATAGCTCCATAAACCAAACTGTCGAAGACATTATTGAATTCCTCGATGGCAAGGTCACTGGAACACAACTCATACATAGTTTGTTTGGCCAGCAAGCTGAAACAGAACTCAGACGATGGTTGTCTCGACAAAATGATGTCATGGAGCCTCCTCCTCATGTGCAGCTACTCAATGCTGGAACAGATCTCGGACACAGGTTGTCTCGCCAACTAGGGCTTTTGGAGACTCCTCCTCTGCCACCATACATTGGAAATATCGCTGGAACTCCTCCTATGTTCTCTGGCCGTCAAAGTGTATTGGAGCCTCGTCCTCCTCCTCCTCTACTGCCACCGCTGCTACCACCGCCACCGCCACCTTATGGTCCTCAAAACGTTCCCCATCCTTATTTTGGTAGACCATTTCATCAGTAAGGTTCTTACTTAAATTTGGATTGGAGAATTTGTAGCTAGCGAACCTTATGTCACTTGTGTCTTAAGATAAACTGTTTAAATTTCGTTTCTTCGTTATATTTATCACTAAAATAATGACTTCAGATTCAGTAATATCTTTGGCATCATAATGAAATATCCACAATAAAACTCAAAATCTTCAAGAAAGATAGCTCTAATGAGATTCAGAGGTCTAATTAGCTTTAGTTAATTTATTGTTGGTCTCTCTAGTTTAGTGTAAATCTATTTGGTCTATGATTAGGATTTAATTAGTTCATGTTAGAACATAATCCCGAGTTAAACTAAAGTCAAGTCCCAGTTTAGTTTCCGAAATTATACAACGGAGTCATGTAATAAAAAGAAAAAGAAAAATTTATTGTGAAAATTAGATAGCAAATTTAAAAGTTTGGTTTTTTTTTTTTGGTTCTTTTTAAGTCAGTAAATTCTTTTGTTAACCAATCAAATGCATTAGAAGATTTCAATTATACATGATAATCTTTCTATTGATTACAAAATGATTTAAGTCAAAGATGAAATTACTTTCCTCGTTAAACAAATACCTTACCATTTATAGCACATAACAAATTGACTTTTGTAAAACTGTTAATTCTAGAAAATATAAAAAATATACAAGTTAACTTTAAAATTCGTATTTGATTAATTATAAATTACATCATTTAAATATTTATTTACCATTAATTATTTACTAAAAAAAATAATCTATAATATATACATAAAACAAAAATAATGTAAAATTTTATAAAAACATAGATTTAAAGTTCCTAACATATGTTTTCATAATATTATATAAAAATAACACTTATAAATTTTAATGTACATTAGTCATTTTTTTTCGAAACCTAAAATACGCGCCGGATACTCTCATCTAGTAAAATACCAAAATACTCATCTAGTATAAATACCGAATTAACCTACTTTTCACAAAGACAAAATACAATAAAATAAAAAAACAAAAAAAAAACGAGACAGCCACCTTCGTCTCTCTCTCTCTCTTCCATACAATTGGGTTTTGCTCGGAATTGTCTCTTCGCCACGGTTCACGTACGGACGGGACCGTACAACAACCGCACCTCCCCGACAAGGTTTGTCGTCTTTTCCTCTGTTCGAACCCTTTCCTTAATTCTCAAAATTTTTGTTCCTTTCCTTCAGATTTTGCGTGAGGTTCTGGATTACGAAACCTCTACCTTACTTCTTAGTAGAAGTATGATCCAATCTATGCTTAAAAATTGAGTCTTTACTTGGATGATGTATAAAAAAGGCTCCTTTAGATCTTAGTTTCGATGATAACTAGGTTTTTATAAATTTTGGGGATTCGTAATTTGACTCCAATCTTTGTATCACTTTCAGTTTCATTAGTTTTGATGTGAATGGTTTCTATGTTATTTGCAGGGTTTGGTATCTCTGCTTCTAGATAGATAAGGAGTAGAGAGGCAAGTATGATGGATTCTCGAGGAATTGTGGCTGTGGAGAAAAATGTTTCGAGTAAAGGTTAATACTTTGTCACTCTTTGATGAGATTTTCTTAGATTGTGTTTCATTTCAGATTGTTCAATCATTCTTGTTTTCTTTGGGTTATGGATGTCAGCAATTCGAAAGAAGGTGAAGAACGCTTTTTCCATAGCGTTAAAGAGATACAAGATTGATAATTATATCTTACTGGACTTTGATAAGGTATTAAATGATGTCTACGGCTCTTTTCGACCGGTTTCTGCTGATTACGAAACTAGGAAGGAATTGGTGAAAAACCTTAATGCTATGGCTGTAGATATTTATGGTAAATATAAGATTGATTTTGTAGTCTTTTTCTTTTTAAATCTTATTTAGATTGGCTGATATCGAAAGTTGGCAGAGGTTTTATTTATTGTTGTGTTCCATTAGGTAATTCAGAGGAGAGCAGCCCTGTCCTTGAGGCGTATGGGTCTTTTGTGATGGATATGTATACCCCTCAGAGTGATTTGGATGTGTCTATTAACTTTGGTAATGGAACATCTGAACTTCCTCGTGAAAAGAAGCTCCAGATACTTAAAAGATTTACAAGAAAGCTCCGCATTTTGGAAGGTAAGAGATTTGTTCCAATCTTGTTGCTGATTCCATTATGGGAAATGAAATTATAAGTACTGAGGCATTTAAGTCACTAGAAGTTGTTAAGGTGCATTTAAACTCCCATTATTGTTTCTCATATATCCTAAAAAAACCCTGACAGTTGATACAATCAATATGGAAATCTTCTTGGTATCTACATGTGAATTATAGTGACACTTGAATACAACATTCTTAAAATGATCAGTTTCAATATTTCATATATATCTTGCCTATACTTCTTTTGTAGGAGAAGGGCATGTTCGGAATGTTGTGTCTATTGTCACTGCTAAGGTGCCAATTGTCAAATTCTGTGATCAAGGGACTGCTGTTGAATGTGATTTGTCAGTCGAAAACAAAGACGGCATTTTAAATTCACAGATCATTCGCATTGTATCTCAAATTGATGGCAGGTTTCAAAAACTTTGTATGCTGGTAAGATTTTAAGTTCTGTTCTAATGGCTTTTGTTATCCTTATAGTACTAATGACTTGTGAGTTTTTCAACAGAATTTAAAATGATAAAAAATTCCTGAATGACTTGAAGTTTTCAGGGTTTAGATTTCGTTTGAGCTGCCTATGGTTTGTTGCTGTAGTTTCTTCCAAGTCTCTTCAGTATTTTTTTATGATTTTTATTTCATCAAAAGTTAACAACATGAACTTTAAAATTCTAGGAACTGTTTGGCTGACCATAATTTTCACATTGATGAAGTATTCAGAGTTCAAAACGAGCATGTAGATTGTTTCTTTTTTTTGTGGGTTAATTCGACTACAGATATGTGTAGTTGTAGTCAATATATCTACTAATGTGACTATTCTCATATGTCAGGTAAAGCATTGGGCCAAAGCACATGAAGTTAACAGTGCGCTACACAGAACCTTGAACTCTGTATCTATAACATTGCTAGTCGCTCTTCATTTACAGGTATCAACTCAGTTACTCGTGTTGGATGCTCAAGTAGGTAGTTAGTCTGGCTGTTTAATGGGGAATAATTTTACGTCTTTTTCATGTGTTTCTTTTACTTGTTGGATGAATTAACTCTCTATAAGCAAGTAGGATAAAAGTGTTAGGTTGTTTATTGCATCATTTTAAGTTACACATGACTCTATATCCAATCAGATACTATTCAGGTGTATGAGAAACTTTGAATGTACAATGACTAAATACTTCCGAGTCTAATTTGCTTCTCCTTTGTCTTATGTGCAGACTCAAAATCCTCCCATTTTACCTCCCTTCTCTATGCTATTTAAAGGTAACATTAAACTTAGTAAAAGATAACTATGATGGTTTTGTTCTTTTTGGTGTGGTCTATTTAGGCTTTTTTAAAGTCTACAAATTCTCTTTAGGCTTTTTTAAGCTTGTGATACACCAACAGGACATTTGATGATTGTCAAATCTCATATTTCATGCGTTTGATACTCGTCTTTTCCAGTGCTTGTTAGAATCATATTCCTATTTTATTATCCTTCTCTTCTTGCTTTTGCTTATATAGTTTTCCGTTTTGACATTTAATGACCCTCTTCCTTTCCAGATGGAATTGATCCTCTGAAGGTGGAGAAAAGAACGCAAAACTTCTTAAACTGGGGACAGCGTAATCAAGAATCGGTGGCTAAACTGTTTGCGACTTTTTTTATTAAGGTGCTAATCTTTTTTACCTTTAAACCCAACACCATTAAAAAAGCAAGCTGCAGCACATGCGTTTGTTATAACAAAAACATTTCTGTCTTGCAGTTGCAATCTGTAGAATTCCTTTGGAGGCAAGGGCTCTGCGTCAGTGTGCTGAATGGTCTTTGGATATCAAAAAAGTGGAAAAAAGTTGGCGCTGGGTTTATTAGTGTAAACTCAATGAAAACTCTTTTCAGTAATATTACATTTGCATTCTTACTTTTTCTTATGTTTTCTGTATTTTTCCGTGTGTTTTACAGGTTGAAGATTTTACAGACGTGTCTCAAAATGCTGCAAGGCGGGTTAATGGCCTAGGAGCCAAAAAGATATACAGCTCCATAGACAGAACAGTCGAAGACATATTTGAATTCCTTAATGACAAGGTCTCTGGAACAGATCTCAGACACAAGTTATTTGGCCAAGGACCTGTTGTACAGCATCCTCCAGTGGCGCCACTCAATGGCAATATCGCTGGAAGATATCTTAAACGCAGGAAGCTTGGCGAGCAAGCGGTTGTGCAGCCTGGTCCTCCTGTGCCGACACCACTCAATGGCAAGATTGCTGGAACACATCTCAAACAAAAGGTGTGTAGCCAACAAGCTGTTGTGAAATTTCCTCCCCCTGTGCCCTCACTTAACGGCAATATTGCTGAAAGACATCTTAAACGCAAGATGTTTGGCCAGCAAGCTGTTGTGCAGCCTCGTCCTCCTGTGCCACCACCCAATGGTAATCTCAGAGATAGGTTGTTTGGTCAACAAGCTGTTTTGCAGCCTCTTCCTCCTATGCTGCCACTGAATGAAAATATGGCTGGAAGACTTCGTAGAGACAGGTTGTTTGGCCAGCAAGCAGTTATGGAGCCTCGTCCTTCTGTGCTGCCATACAATGGCAATATCGCTGGAACACATCTTAGTGATAGGTTGTTGGGCCAGCAAGCAGTTGTGGAGCCTCGTCCTTCTGAAGTGCTGCCATTCAATGGCAATATCGCTGGAACACATCTTAGTGATAGGTTTTTTGGCCAACATTCAGTTGTGGAGCATCCTTCTCCTGTGCCGTCACTCCATGTTTACCCACATGAACCTCAGAACAACTACAGAAACGGGTTCAGCGCTCTTCATGAAATACATTACAACAAAAGAGTTTGCATGGGAAACGGCAACAGAGCTGAAGAAGAAACAGGTCACAGGAGAGAGGAAGAGGGTTATGATGATCTCATAGAAAAGCGAAACAGGTATATCGGATACTATAATGGGCTTAAAGAATTTAATGAAGCTCCTCTGTTTGGAAACCATATTAAGCCTTTAGATGATACTTATAGACGAGTTCCCTTGAACGGAGAACCAAATGGTCATTTGGTTCACCATAGGCATGATGATAGGTATAGGGGTGAAGAAGCAGTGCCTGTGGGACAATGGCACGGTGATAGATATAGGGGTGAAGAAGCAATGCCTGTGGGACAGTGGCATGATGATAGATATAGGGGTGAAGAACCAATGCCTGTGGGACAATGGCACGAGTACGGTGTAAGAACTGGTCCGCCACTGCCAGAGCCACCGCGACCTCCACTGCATGGTAGAGTTAGTCATGAGAATTTCCGTCCTCAAAACCTTCATCAACCTCATTTTGGTAGATCGTTTTACTAGGGTTTTGGTCAGCAATCACCAACCATTTTTAAAGATGAATATAATTTCATACTATATAATTGGTCGGAATCAATTTTAGGGAAGGGGAGAGTACAGGTTTTGGTTACTTCGGTTTAATTGTGGAGATGTGGAGCTGAAGTAACTGCAGTTTTGGGTGTGATAAGAAAGTGTCGTGAGTGTCTGTATGTTACTGTTTTATGCTGGATTCGGTTTAAATTTGAATTGGTGGATTATAACCAAATTTGTTTTATAAGATTTAAGTGATATTGCTACTAGGTGACTTGCCTAAGATTCATACAAATTGCATTTTTATGCAAGATATGGTAAGAAATGGATTTCTTAATAATTATTGTTTAACTAAGGTTTCTTCATAAATGCCAATTTGTCTTAGATCCTTACAAACCTTTAACTGGAAGAGAATTTAAACGATTTAAAACCAAAATAATGATCTTTCGATTTAGTATAGTAATAATGTAATCACAATTATGAAGATCACAGTATTATAAAAAAGTTGAATATAATCTCAAACAATCGATAAACCCTTTGTGACTTTGTGTCAAAAAGAAGACTTCTGGATTCAATATGTTACTCTAGATTCTGTTTACTTTGGCCTCGCCGTGAAAATCACCAATATGTTTAAAAAGTTGAATAAAGTCTCAAATCGTCAAGAGATACTTGGACTGGCCAGAAAAAATGAGAGTCAAGGTCACCTAACTCATCAGTAAGCTTTGCTTCGCCGATTCTCTTGTCAAAATAAAATCAACTGCTTCCTCAACGGTGTCAACTACCTGAAGAAGTAATAACCAGTTTCACATGAACATAAAATTACGGGAGTAATAATAAGATCCTTCCAAAGGTTTAAGTGTTGCTTACCAGATCAGCAGGAAACTCGGCATGGTTATCTTTCCCTTTGAAAACTCCGGTTCTTGTTAAGATTGAAAACCAAGGAGCCCCGGCCTGTCACACAGATTTACTTTTACCAGATTACTAATAGTTTAACGTACGATTAGAGGAATGTTTTATGGAGAGATGACCGACTATAGTCTTGAGAGAAAGAGCACAAAACCTGCCGTGCGCCTCTGATGTCGATTTTGGGGTTGTCTCCGATCATATAGAGGGTCTTGAAGTGGCGACTTCCTTGTTTTAAGGAATCAGGGGATGTGGCAATTTCTTTCAGAACATCTTCTGCGTTCTTGAACACAAATGGATTTGGTTTGCCAAAAGATGTGTACTCCAGAGGGTTATCATGGATTCTGCAAGTATGTATTTAAACTCAATCATGCAAAACTGAATTGGACAAATGAGGAAAAGTATCACACATATAATGTCTTTGAAGACTAGTTTTTGTGTTTCTTGAAAGATGTTCAGTGTCATATGGAAGGTGCGTGTTTGATTTTGGGTATTATTACCTGTTGAAGATTGATTCTAATGCGATTCTAAAAGCTCCCATGCCAAGACGTTCAGTAGGAAACGCAGTCTGCCTTTATATCACAATGCATCAGTATCCCATATAGTTAATCAAAAGAATGGACAAATAACAATGGATTCACCAGAACCTGGTAGTCTAAATCGTCATTGGCAAAATACAAATGAGGTTGAGGTCCAATTTTTTTCCCAGGAAGTCCTCCAGTTCGTAAAATGTCACAAAGAACCTGATGAAAAGCATCAATCAATATTAATTATTTAATTCACTGTGAACACCAAAACTTCTAACGTATATCTGCTGCCACTATATCTATGAAAATCTACCGCAAGAAACCATATTGTGTTTTATTTTTCTTTTGTTCCACACAATCGCGAATCCAGTGACATGGAAATAAACTCAACTTTCTCATGTTTATAACGATGTGTGCTTATAATACTTTTTCAACCAGAAGAACGAAAATAACATGTATCAGATAAGTATCACCGAAGAAAAACATAATGTAATTTGAATCACAAATGGGAATGAGAAACCTGGATGTCTCGGCTCCAATCGACTGGATCACTAACAATAAATGCTGCCTGAACTCTTTGGGATAGAACATTTTCTCTTGATCTAAGCTCCTTGTGACCATCCTGCCCGATCATAAATTTCTTATATGGTGCCAAGGGATCAATGTTGTCAAAGTAAGAGGCATATTCGTCCATTGAAATGACATTTCTGAAAACACCAGCACATATATATTACTTACCTAAATAGAAGTGTGAATCACAAACAAACAAAAATCAGAAAACTCAAGAAAGATCCCTGAGCTTACTTGAAACCATAATTAGACATCACCGCAGCAGGTTCCCCTTTTCCAGCTGCAACAACGAGCTCATTTCCAAACCTGTTCCACACGATCATTAACCAATGTTCTAACAAAACCAATGGTTTCGTTACAGGACTATGCGATCATAAAATCCTTAATTTCTTGTAAAATTGTTTGCAAAGTCCTGTGCCTTTTGTAAGTTGTTTGCAGACTTACTTGTTCACAAGCTTCCGGAAAGGTGAATGTCCTTGTAGCATCTGCCATAATATCGAAGAAAGTACATCCAAAAGTGTTACAATTACTCAAACCAGCTTAGTTATCACCGTAACAATCTGCGGAAAGAAAATAGAAAGGAATTGATGTGACAAGATTGCAACCTGCAATGGAGAAACATTAACACCTAATAAACGACTCATCTCAGATGCCCGTTTAGATTCAGGCAAGCCACCTCCTACCATAACCAATGAAACATGTACATGAGGAAAAAAAAAATCCAAGAAATTCGTAATAAATATCCAAAATCTATCTATAGTTAAGGCTCACCATTAGTTAAGAATAAGAAAGGTATCTTCAAAGCACCTGCAAAAAAATACCATATAGAAACCTCAACACTCATCAAAGGCAAACACAATTATAGATTCTAAACAAGTTCATCTCCTTCTTCAACACCTAAAAAGCAACTTCTATA